ACGACGGCGTTGAAGCCGTTGTGGGGGTCGGCGGTGTACTGGACGGTGCGGCGGGTGCCGTCGGGCTCCACCAGGGAGTATTCGCCCTGAACCACGTCACCGTCGCGGCTCTCGTGCTGGGACTTGCTGTCGCCGGTCAGAGCATCCTGGATGTCGTAGGCGTAGCTGTACTGGGGATGAGGGTCGTAGTCGGTGTCGACGGCAACGGGGGCGGCCACCTTCGCGATGGCGGGGGCGGCGTAGGCGACGGGGGCGGCCACCTTGGCGACGGCGGGGGCGGCGTAGGCGAGGGGAGCGTGGGCGTAAGTCGCGTAGGCGGGGGCGGCCACCTTAGCGTAGGCGGGGGCGGCGGCGTAGGCCACAGGGGCAGCGTGCGCCGCGTAGGAGATGGCGGGTTGGGCGATGACTCCGGCGCGAGCCACGGCCACCACGGCGGCGAGGACGACGAACTGCGGAGAGGAACACATCGTTATATCACCAACATTTGTCGTTGCGTTCACATTATATTGCTAAGAAAATGTAATGCCCAGGTTTTTCAGCAATTCTGTGTAGCAAACTCGAATGGTTCGTTGTGAGAAATTTGTAGGATATTTTTCTAATTTATTTTGACTCTAGCACTAAGTAAATTCCAATTGGATAAATCGTAGAGGCTATCTTTATTTCTTATATTTATTTGAACTAATATTTTGAATTATGATTTGAGAATAGCAGAGTTGGCGAAGCACTTGGCGAATATTTGTCGCCAGTATTTAAAAAAAATATAGGATTGTCAGAATTACCGATAACACAAAACTTGTAAAACCTTTGAATGATCGCTGACGAGAGAGTATAATGAAATTTAAAAAAAAAGATTTGCTTAAGCTAACAAAACATGAGACCTACTCAGAACGCAGAATATGGGTATAATCCGCGCAACTGAGTAGTTTTTGAATATTTGCGAGTGTGTGGTTTATCTCCAGGACTGCTGATCTGCCACGATAAGCCAGCAACTCACCTTGTACATGGTTGCTGCTGCTACTGCTGCTCCAACTGCTATTGTGGACGATGAAGCACTGTTCTGCCTGTGAGTCGTCGGCCGGTGGCTTATATACGAGGCGTCTTGACGTAACTGAGCGGCCGCGTCCCCCCGCGGCCAGCCTTTCACCCGGCCGCAGGGCATCTGGTGCGGCTGGCCGCGGGGATTGCGTCGTCGGGCGCTACACGCGCCGCGGGTAGTACACTTCGCACACCGGCGCTCCCCTCGCCCCACGTGCCCCGGGCAGCGGTAAGCGGGTGCCGTTTGGCGCCGCCACGGGTCCCGCTCAAGCTGCCGCATTCCTTTTCGGAAAGTTCGGGCCGGCGGGGCGGCCACGTCGATATGAGCGTTTCCTGCGTCTATGGCAGTGGCCGCCTCCGCCGCCGCCACTGCCTCCTCCGCCGGCTCTGCCCGCGCGTACGTGTCTCTCGCCGCGCGCACGTGGTCCGGCCCGCGGAGAGAGACAAAGATTCTGACGGCGTTGCCCGAGGAGCTCGCGCAAAGCTGCGCTGCGGATTCGAACTTATAAGGCTGGCTAACGTCGATATACTCTCATCTGCGTAAGTTCGTCTTCGGGTATTAGCTACGAAATCTGCCGGGCTGTACTATAAGCAAGTAAAGTAGCCGTGTGCGTTTGCAGCGTTTTGTTTGATCACTTCAGAAATATTGTGATCGATAGTTAAGCTGTAAGTGGTCCGCGTATTAAAAGTCGCGATTATCGAAATGCGCTTAATGACCACGACAATTTGGGTCTTGTTCGTGAATTGCTTATTCGCCGTGCATTCCGTGTCTTGTTAGACGTTCGTCGTCAGATTTTGTTTCTCGAATCTCCAGTTTGACACTTAAGATCACGATTCGGTTCTCACGAATTGGAATCAGGAACAACGCTACCAAGTTCATCTCATTTTATTATCATATTATTTTGTGTGAATAAGTGTTTTTTTTTAGAATTATGTGGAGTTTCTAAGATGCCGGTGAATAGGATTGTGAAACTTGCAGGACTGAATGTGTAATATCTCGCTCAGGCATGGATTTTTCTTCTGAATTTTCTTAAGTCCAACAGGTTGTTCTGTCTCTGGATGTGTTTTGTTGCACTTGTTCATCGTATTTAGGCTGATATTTTTGTCTCCTGGATAATGGACACTTAGTTTTCTTTTCTGTTTCTGCGCGATTTGCAAATATCGGAAGGATATATCTACATGGCAGTGATTTAGAAGATAATGCATTATGCGATTTAGACTTGTGTCTTGGTGATAAGTGCAAATAGTTATCAATGCAACTTGGAAAAGACGAGAATTTAAAATGTTAGCATTTTCAGTACTTTGTTACATCTAAAAATTTCGTTAGAATGCTTGGCTTCTGTGTATAATATAAACATCTTTATTTTGTTATAATTTTAAGCCAATGAGTGTTATAAACGTCTCGACTGATGTTTGTTTGAATAATTTGTGTTAATTCTGTGTTATTACTTCGTTGAGCCGTTATGTTCAGGTTCTTATACTACCTTTAATTAGCTATGTACTATAATTATCTCTCTCATGGACGAGACGGAGTTGGTTTTTAGGGCTTCATGACTTGTTTCGCATTTCATGCCAATTTACTAGGTATTCGGCCAAATTCTCACTGTTGTGGAAGTTTGCTTACAATATTTGCGAATGTTAATTTTCGCAGAGAGAAATGTGAACATTGACATGCATATAAAATAAGAGCGAATGTTCTCATAGGTATGAGATGTGGATTTTTCAGTGGTTGGTTCAATGACCACTGAACACCGACAATAATTTTTGGTTTGGATGAGCTTTCCGTTTGAAATGTAGTAGTTCTATCTCAACCGGTTTTACGTTCGTAAATCCGTGGACTTGTTTGTCGGGTTGTGTTCTAGACGGGGTATCATTTATTCCTGCATCTCTCTGCGCTTTCAAGATCATCTGGAAGTCGTCTTGATGTGTAGGATTATCAGACTTGAGGTTTACTTTTGTTTGTACTTCCCACTTGTTTCCCGTGAAGATGATACTAAGTTTCCAGCAAGAGAGAAATAGTATTTCTCCAAAATGAGCTGGGTGGTGTGTTAAGCAAAATTCTTTTCCGAACTTGCAGTAAGCTGAGGATTCCGACCCCCTGCTCACTTTTTGCGCGGTGGCGTGTTGCAAGGTGACGCAACGGCTAAGTGGCGGTCTGCGGGCAATGAGGCAGTGGCGCCCGCGGTGACTCTTCGTAGGTGACGTTTTTTCCCCTTGGCACGTCACTGGCGCTTACATATGCAGGTCTTGGGCCTTAGCGATTTCCAGTCGCAGATTGGACCCACTGCTTTCTTCAATTATTAATGTACACCTCCATTGGGATAGGATGTTAAAAGATAACTTTGGCTTACAATTTTTGTGTTTTCACGGAGTTCATGTAAGTTGAAAAAAAATCAGAAAGTCGCTTCATTGGGTAATGTTCGAGAGTATAGTAATTAGATAAGTTTAATTAAATACCTTAGTTTTAATAGAATGTCATAGAATAGCTTCCATTTACAGTTTTTGTATTTTCACATGCAAGTCTCAAAAGGAAAAATAAAAATTAAAAATGTCCCTTCATTGGGTAATGTTCCAGAATATAGTAGATATATTTTATTCAATTGGGTTAACTCACAACCAACTATTTCAGAATTTCACATTTTTTAAAATATTTCTTCCGTCATCCATTCAGTTATTCCATGCATTCCGAATTGTAGACAACTTGGTAGATTTAGGAATTCATCTACCATGTTATCTACTATAAATCATTTTTATGACACGTTATTTAACGATTTAATTTGCTGATAATTGTAATGGCCAGTTTTGTTCATTTGTTCATGAGATAGTGTCTTTATAATTAAAATAATCTTTTTTTAAAATCATATACGCATTTGCGTCAACATGAGTAAATCTTGATGGGGATAATTTAACAGTTGTTTTTAGCTGCCCTATTTTGAATGTCCTTGGCTCGTTACCGTAGCTGACGCTATTATTTTAAATAATATATAATAATATATTTCACGTGATAGTATTTGTAATTAGACTGGGATTTTTAACAGAAGCTAATAATTAATGACTGCTCGCATTGCTTTTCACACATTTTACCGTTATCCTTTCTGTTACTTCCCGTTTTTAACATGAGTTACATTCACTGCAGTGTAATGATGATAAACCGCTGTACTTGTTCACTCTCAGTTGAGAGATGGAATCAGTGCAACTTGTTCTCCATTCGTCATTCAGAAAATGAAATTAACTTATTACGTGTCGGTGTTTACAAGTCATAATGCTTTTTTTGTGTTCCTGTTGGCAATTCGTACGTCAGTGTAAGAGCTTGACGTACGGGTTCTTTTTTGAAAAGACATGAAGTGTGGCTTTTGAAGAGCTGAGGCTCACGGCGGGCGTGATAAACATAACACGCCCTCATACTTGGCCATTTGACGTTTCCTGGTTGCTCCTCAAATGCTATTGAGTTATTACGAGCTGCGAACCGGTTCTCACCGTTGTTCGGGTAAAATGACGGAAAGAACAAACTTTTTGTTTATTTCAGGAACGAAGGAGGCCAGCACATTTAATGCATATATTGAACTACTTTTATTCATGTCGTTGAGGAAGAAAAATCACATTTTCGCCGGATTTTTATTATATCGGTTCGGCGTTTGCTTAGCGTGCTCCGTATCTGCATTCCCATACTTTCGTAATTGTTCGATAATCTCTTTTTAAATGTTACTTTCATGTACTGATTAGTAGCTGAATCCGTGAGAACGTTTATTATTTAAGAAATAATTGTTTTAAAAGTGAACATAGCTTTATTCTAGGAGGTAATATTCAACTGCCAGCTCTTGAACTCTGTCTTTATACCATTTTACGCTCAGTAAACATGCTAATATTGCTAAGCGTTGAGATTAAATATAACAGAAAATCAAATAGTAATTTTAATTTTATCATGGTAATTTATCATATTTTTTCTCTCTATTCTTTGCATTTAGTTTTCCATATAGATTCTGAGTTATTCCTGACCGCCTATGCCCCTGAATAAGAGTGTCCGGGAGAGTTTTGTCTCCAAAAATGTAATACCAGATTTATAAAGATATCTGCGTACGGAACATAATGCAGCCCCCACCTCCCTTCACGTATCCCCACATGTCTTCGACCTCTGTCCTGCCTGCTCTCCAAATCTCGTGTCCTCACAAAATACAAGGGGTCTTTGAAGGGACAGGGAAAGTTTGTTTTAAGGGCTTACGACGCATCATTTCTGAGTTACACGCTAATTCTTATGTTTTGTAGTTATCTGTTCCCCCCGTCATAATCTTCAAACTTATATTTCATTAAATTCATAATCAATGCTAAATATATTTTATCACATTTGCGTATTAAAATTAACAAAATTAATCTAACGAATTGAAATTGACCAGAAAGTAACTTCTATGCAAAGTAGTATTGTAAAACTTGTGGTGGAATCATTTTCTTCTTTCCGTATTTTATAAAGTTGACCTCTGGAAGAACCGAAGAACCTGTTCCTCACACGTAGAGTAATCTTGTTCTTGTTGAACGGTAATTATCAATTTTCTTGAATTAATTTGCCTTTCGATAATTCAGTATGGGAAGTTAATTACCCAATAGTCAGATGATTAAATTGCCTGGAAAATCTAACTGTTGTACGATATTGAATTTAAAAAACATATTTGTACATCGAAATGCCAGGTATTGGTACTCTCTTATCTTGACAAAATGTTGGAATACTGTATATCATGTTTTAGAGCTGTATATCAATAGTTATTGTTTCATAGTTACAACGACACTGGATACATCTTCATCCGTATAAATTTACACTTTCGTAATAAGAATAAAAATGATGTTGGATTAATTTACAGATGTTAAAAGTTACAAAAAAGACATTATTGTGTAATTAATATCGTTATCGTACACTTAGTGAAGCATTATTGTATATGGTGTTAAAAATTTACTTTTCCTAATCAATTGTAGCGTTTTCAGGATGGAGAAATGATTGTTGTCAAAGTTTTTTATATTTATTTAATATTAAGTGGAGAACGAACTCAGAACTATATTACTGTGTTAGAATTAGTTGAAACATATGTAAACTTTGTAAATTACCCGAAAAACATTCAATCGTTCCTTCCTCTTTTT